CACTTGAAGAATTAAGAAAAAAAAAACAGGTGTGTACACACACATCTAGAGAAAAAGATACATAAAGATATAGACAGACATAAAATACTATGTATTAAATATAAAAAGATAAACTATACAAATTATATAATGATGCAATGCTAATATATTTTAAACCCTCAAAAAAAGGTAGTAAATACAGCATTTTTCACAAAGTGCTACCATTTTCATCTCAATTGACACTGAAGTCAATCTTTTTTTTTCCTTAAACTCTGTAAACAACAATGACACAGTATTTCCAAGTTTTGTGCACACAGAAGAAAACTAACCATGTGTAAGTTACATGGTTGACTATCTCGGTGCAGTTTCAAGTTTATTGGAAAGCCACCATATGAAAGCCTAGGGAACAGTTGTAGTACAATGCATAAACAGTCCAGGAAAAGAAAGACTGGCTGACACAGTGTGACAAAGTGCCTGATACATACCATATGCCTTAGGTAAACGTGCAATAGATGTCATAGAACAGTTACACATCACCAGCAACTTACATGCTTTTTGAAATACTAGGACAGACAGTCTTTTACTACAAATGATGGAAGCCGTCACCTGAATAGCAATGAAATGTTACTTTTTAGAAATACTGAAACAAATTCTGATTTTTTTCCCCAAACTTTCATCCAAATATGCTCATGTGAGGGTTGATTATGTACACACATGGAATACACAGAATGAAATCAATAAACTGGACAATTGCCTAAAATATTTCAATTTAACCACTTAAATCTCCACTATAAGGTTCTACAAAGCTTGACGACACACATTAGGTACAAGATATGAATTCAGAACAACAGATTACTTTCTTGGATATTTGCATCGGTACTGAAAACTAACAAGAAATTTCTGTGTATGTGTTGTATATAGTGATACTTCAGAGAACACATTAATTAAATAATACAGTTTGTTAGGGCAAAATTTCTGTATTAATTTTAAAATTTCTAAATGCATTGTTATTTCTTATTAATATATACTTCTAAATATAAACAGTAAATCTAAATACATAATTTGCATGTGTTATTTATGTTTCTGCAAAATCTTACAACATATCAATGTAGGAGAAACACTGGAAAGTTGTCTACAAAGCAAGGTTTCTTTGAAGGAAGAGAATGGTAAAATTTTACCTATTTTCACAAAGAACAATTTGCTATAGACTATCTAATTTTATATGTTTTTTTAATTAAAATTGGTGAAAGCCAAAGAAAAATAATAAAGGCACATTTTATTTCCTTTTATAAATCATAATAAGCTTAGATTCTTGTACCTTTCCAAAATGTTTAGACTATATTCGTTTCAACCTGTCTAATGTTTATTCAAATGCCAATCCAAACAACTACACATATACCCACTAAAATTTAATATGTTACAACTCATCTGGAAAAATGTACCTATTGTTTCATACTTTAAAGATACACCTGTGGAAAAATATTGTCATGTGATGAATCTGATGAGAACAAATCAAAGATCTGAGAAAAGGATTTATTAATGTTCACTGTTAGGTTTTATTTTACAAGCTAATATATTAGCTCATATTTTATTATAAGGTACATTTTGTTCTATATATAGTATGCAAATTAAAATCACTAAGCCCAAATAAGAATAATTATATCACTTCTAATACATGAAAAAGACATCCATTCCAATGAAAATATTTATTTTTAATAGTGTTTAAATATAAATTTGTCTCATAATGGTTAAAAAATTTATAAACTAAGTACTTAAACCCCAAGGTACTATTCTTTTATGAGATGCTATATTTCCTATAGATCCTGTAACTCTTACCAATATATTTATCCCACTATATAGTTTAAATATATTAAAAATCCCCATATGCCAATGGGCTCTCAGCCAATTATTATGGACAGATTGGCATTTTGAGATGACGAGATAAAAGTTTGAAATGAATAGTAGTTATAACCATGTTCCTTTTTTAAAAATTGGATTTGTAAATAGATTCTAAAATTAGAACTGACAAATTCAAATTAACATTACAATACTGGCTACCATACATAATACTCTGAGTTTCAAAATAGAAGTGTTTTCACATATGAGCCAAATTATTTCTAGAACAAGGGAGAACTCCCTTTTAGAAAACTACATTTTAAACTATCAATATAACATGTGCATACTGTAAGATGAAAATTATGTATTTTCCATTTATATACAAACCAATATACATGAGGTGGCTGCAACCATATGGCATATTTATGTTTCACACCTAACTAAAACAATCATTTCCAAAGAAAAACCTAAACTAGCAAAAGAACTGTATCAAAATTCCTCCCTTTGTCTGAAAAAAAAGTTATTTTAGTGTTAACTCTTAGAACAATTTAATCACTATTTTAATTCAGAATATGCTATATGAGAATGTATGTTAAACCAGAGAAAATTAAAGAAAATATTTAGAATATTTATGTTTTTATAATAACATTTAAGCCCTTATTGTAAAAATTCTAAAAAACAAAAGACTTTTTATTACTAATTCTAATTCAGATCCCACTCCAATGAGTGTATAATGAATTTTATACTCTATTAGTGGCATATTCTTCCTCTTCTGATGATAAAAAATTTCTTATATTACTTTTTTCTGGAAAAACTAGAATGAATGATGAAGAAAACCAAAAGAATTTACTAATGAAAAATGTATATAGACAAGCACAATAATTTGTCTTTAATGATGCTATAATCTTTGGACTGAGTTTCTAATGAACTTGGAATTTTTCCTAAAGATTTGAGATTTATCCTAATAAATATGCCACATGAACTCTTTTTGCAAGAAAAGCAAATGGCACTGCATCATGATATAATTAATGCTACATATTTTTTAATTTCATAAAGTTTATTCAGAAATCTAACATGAAGTGCATCTTCCTCAGATGATAAGGAGAAATGACTGACTTTCAAATTAATAATTAAAGATGCAGAAGCCTTATAAAAATAGTATTTCCTACAAGGGACTGATATATACAAAATCTTTCATTAAGTCTTTTTTTTACAAAATAATTAACGTTTCAAATTATTTGCAAATATCTCAAATTTTTATTGTTAGAAAATAAATTTAAAATCCTTCGAAAGAAAAGAAATTGTGGCTTTCTAATTACTATTTTTGCCAACTATTCACTTTCTTTCTTATCTTTAGTGAATTTCTGACCATGAAAATTTAGCTATTTTAATTTTGGGAAAACACTTATTGCAGATGTCCTTCTTACAACAAGGATCTTTTACATTAATATTTTACCATGGTCTGTTCAGGAATAAAAGATTGTATTTTGTTGTATCTTTAAAAGTCATAGTTTTCCACTATGGTGTGATGATGCACTCCCTCCAAATGATAGAAATATTGATAAACTGCCAGTTAAAAATAACACTTTAAAAATCTGTAAACTGAACACACTGACTCCTTTTTAAAGCGCCACTTCTTTGACACAAAACGCAAGCGACTCACTTCAGTTTTCAATTTATAGGCCAAGCTACAAAGAGACTTAAAAAAAATAAAAGTGTAATTTCTTAATGAGTGAATAATATTGAAGCATCTTTAGTGTAATTCTTACTCTTTTCAAAATATGTTTCAAAATATCCGCTTGCAATATGCTGCCAATTAAAGGAAGATCTACAGATGGCATTTACCCTTTTGCTTCATAACAAAAAGGATCTGCTATTATTTTTATGGAAGATTATCTAAAAAAGAACATGACTGTAAATCATGACAAAAATATTAGACACTCCCCTTCTCCAGGTTAGAATGTGCATCCTTCGGGTTCTTGCACTGACACCTAATGCAATAAATACTTTAAGCTGAATCTTAAATAATAACTTCAGGGTATCAACTAGTGAAGATTTAAGGTCAGTATCCACCAAAAACTCCAGTTTTCAGCACTCTGCCAACAAAGGACAGCAAATAATTCCCAACAGCAAAAATACCGGGAAGGCTACCTTGGGCTTTGTTTTGTTATGTAAAATGCATTAAAGTGACTCATCCACTTACCATTACCTACTCTTACAAGCTTTAAAGTAGCTTCAACAACCAAAATAAATGCTTTCCCAGAATGCCTAATAGGCTATTCAGCACATTTTAAAATATGTATATGTTTTTATGTGCCACTGACTTTGATTCTTTTCTCCAACACGAGAGAATTATTATTTTTCACTCCCTTCCTGCCGTGTGACTATACAGCTACCTTCAAACACTCTATTTCCAGAACAGCAGCGAGGTTTTCTTAAGCTATTTTAGAAATGTTAAAAATAAGAGAAAAATTGCAGGAGACTCTGGAAAAAGCTCAGTCCCTCCCCCCCCCCCCAAAGGAATACAGGGTTCTATTCATTCTAACAACAGGAACCGCGTGTCTGCCGGCACTGTTTCAAACAGAGGGTGAGGGAGGTTGGATGGCAGGGTCCCAATTGCTGCGAGCCCCTGGAGTGGACAGCACCTCTGCCGCGAGGGGCAAGCATTCCTCATATCAGAACGGCTGTCAGGTGCGCCCAGTAATTTGGGACCTAAACGAGTTTGGATACCACAACATTTAGCATCTCAGAGGCCAAGCGGGAGAAGCCCACGCTACCCAGGCCAGCCTGCAGTTACTTACTTGCAAAATGCCCTACCCAAACACAACTTTTTACTGGAGTCGGTTTGATGAGAGCAGGTATGTGGCTGGAAACTTTTTCCCACAGTGCCGCTAAACTCCAAGTCCAAGGAATCGTTTTAGAGATGGGCTGAGGTGCCGCAAGTCGTCAGGAAACCCTTCCTGGGACAGCCCGGCCCCGCCGAGGCTCCCGAGACGCCGGTTCCGTGCGCATTCCGGCGAAGAGCCGCGCGCACCCCCGCTCGGCCTCTCCGGATCCGAGCCCGGCTCGCTCCCCACCCCCACGAGCAGAAAAGCCCCTCAACTCGGGAACGGAGCCCCCGTCCTACTTCCACGGCACCCCTCGGCCCGCACTCTCCGCCCCGCTGGCCCGGCCCGAGCACTTACGTGACGGCCGAAGGGAACGGCTCCTCCGACGAGGGGCCGATCAACAAAGATTGGAAAAGTGTCAGAGTCAAGGCCAGCAGGCAGCCAGCAGCCATCTTCGCGATCGAAGATCAATCTCGCTTCCCTCCCCAGCCGGGGGAAGGACCGGTGCTGGAAACCGCGGGAGGAGAAGGAGCAGGGTCCGCCCGGACCACAGGCGTCCGCGGGCTGGCGCGGCCGAGGCGGTGGCTGGGGCGCGGGCCGGCGTGGGGGTGCCGCAGGGGCTAAGCCCGGCGCGGGGGAAGGGGCGGCGGGCGGACCCACTAGCGCGCGTCGGCAGCGCCGCGCCGCAGCTGCCTCGCCTCAGCCGCCATCAAGGGCGACTTTGGAAACAGACCTGGGCGAGCCCGCCGGCGCTGGCGCGCTCTCGCTCCCTCTCGGTTTCCTCCCTGATTTATTCCCCCGATTGCCGTGGAGCAGGCGGGGGGCGGAGGCGGGGGCGGAGAAGGGCTGACGGCACCGGGGAGGGTGGGGGTGGCTGCCGGGATGGGGGGATGGCAGGCGGGGAGACTTGTGGCAGAGAGGGAGGCTTCGTCTGGCTTCTCCGGGCAAGTCAGAGGGGGGTGGCTGGGGGTGGACAGCGGGAGGGCTGGGCGTCAGAGCACTCGGGCGGAGACGGGCAGGAGCGGCCCTCCATACAAGGCAGAAAGGAACTCCCAAAGTCGGCGCCGGCTTGCTCCCGCCGCCCGGCGTGCGGAGCGAGAGCGGGGCGGGCCCCGCGGACCTCCCAGGGGACCGCTAGCCGCCCGGGGGGTGTCCACAGGCAGCCGGGGCTCCGGCCCAGCACTTGGCTCGCGTCTTCGGGGGTTATTTTTCCCAGGCAGGCAGTGTTCCCCCGGCCCTTCTCCCAGGCGCAGAATCCACTGCCTGCCTGAGAATCGTGGGGCCGAGATTTGACAACGAGTGTAGGAGGGGTTTATATTTGCATTTTAAAGCACCACTTTTGACTCCCTACCAGGTGGCACTATTTATTTGCCCTGGAGTGCCAGAGGCTAGAGCCGCCGGCGTGGCTGAGGGCCAACTGTGGCAGCGCGGCCCGACGCCCAGGTGCCTCTCACCTGGCAAGACAGAACCTGGCAAGTCCGGGCTGGGGACAGTCAGAGAAGGACCCGAGGCTGTAAAATCTTCCTAGTCTGGCCATGTGTTAGGAGGACCGAGGGGTGGAAGGACCTAAAGCCGAGGAGCACTGGGCCGCGAGAAAAGCCTCGTACGACTTCCCAATTCCCCCAAGTGCCCTGGTCTGGCCTGTGGTCTGCCCTGCCCTGACAAGGTTGCTGCAAAACACGTTCACTTGGTCCGGATGAAGGCATGAAAAGGGTAAGCAGAAACAGGTGGCAATTTGCGAAACGCGCCTAAAATATGGAGGAGGAATTGGAGAGAGCTAGGGAATAGCACTGCAGTACAGACTAGTTTCACCTGCATCCGCAGGCCGGCGTGCCCAGGCCTTCCGGTAGGAAAAAACAGGTGGCTCTTGCGTAGGCCTCTCGGACCACACAGGCGTCCTTCAGGAAGGAGCTGGTGGCCCAGGTGAACAGGTTTCCCTGAACACCTTACATTACTAAGCCCCTTCTAGTAGTGTATTGGAGCACTTTGACACCATTTCTGATTGGGGGGGGGGGGGGCGGATCACCATCCTGCATATGCATAAAAGTTGTCATAATGGGGAGGCCTGGCATTTTTAATTAGCCCTTCTCATAGTTTCTTGAGATTATGAAAACAAAGACCCTTATTAATTCGGAATTGATTTGCCATCTCTCTAAAGGCAATCTGCTGAAACAGAAGACTATTAATACTTAATAGCAACATTTTAAAATGCGATGTGATTTTATGATTCTTGACCCAGTGATGTTTCCTTCCTCCTAACCTCTCTTTCGTGTGTGTGCGCGCGCGCGCGTCTTGTTTTCTTTAATTCTGTACACATCTATCTTGCTCTCTGTTTCTTTTCTCTTATTCTGAGTGACCTCACAAAAGGCACCCCACCGTGACTTGACTTAGTTTGTTTTATGCTAAACCAAGAGAATGTGGCAGCAGGAGCCAGCAAATGAGCAATGAAGTGGGATGGGATGGAATAGGATTGGGAACTCATCTCACAAAGATACTTTATATAACCATAGATAGCTTTCCATGCTAAAATTAGATAACTAAATAGTAAAAGTCCATCTTTTTTTCCCCCCAATTTTTAATGATTAAAAAGCAAATTTTCTTCCCCAGCATGGGAATTAAGAATGGCAGAATCAGATGCCCATTACTGTCTACATGATATGTTGGTATCATAATAGCCACACTGCAGAAAAATATTTTAATAAATTCTGAAATAATTATTTCAATAATGACTTCAGACTTCCTACTAAGGTACACCATTTCCAATTTTATATCTTTAAGAAAAAGAGCTTAAGGAATAAAAGAATGTAATAAACTTCTCGAGAAGGTAGTCAGCCTTCATTATTAACTTCGTTGGCCTTTGAGCCAAATCTCAATTTCTTTGGATCACTCTGATGAAACACTGTGCTCTCTCATTTCTGAAGCTGTTGAAGAAAGATATTACATCTACAATTCTTTCTGACGGAGCTGATTGTCAACTGTAAGCCTAAATCATTGCTTAATCCTCTGTTGTGTTAATTGCTTTTAATCAATCTAAACCTTTTTAATGATATTCAAAATGTGGCTTTTGTTTCTTTTGTATGAAAACTAAATTAAGACCATTTTCACAATACAGCATTATGTGTCAATTGATTAACCATAGCATTCTATAATGTACAGTTTCCGTCCAGTTCTGTTATTTTGGAAAATTTCATGAAGATTAGATCATAGCCTATCAATTTTAATAAAATTTTGCTAAGTCACCAAAATTTGCCATTCAAGATAAAATGTTTATATACCATAAGGATTGATGATAAAACTTGAATTATGGGCTTTAAGTGAGCAAGATGTAAGAAACTAGTATCTACTATTCGTTTAGGAGGAAATATTCTAAAAAGAAAGTAAAGATTAATGAAGAGTTAGATGATGTCTATATTTAATCATTCCTTTAATAAAGTTTAAAGATTTCATGCAGAGCACTTTCACTCATATTTATGATCTGTCACTTTTAGCTAACCATCAATTGCTATAATATGTAAATATTTAATTTGTTCATATACATTTCATTTTTATTAATTAAGAATGACCAAAGAACAAGATGAATAGAACAGCCATAAAATGTTCCCTCTTTCTGCCTTTTTGTTTTAGGTTATACTATGTGTATTGCTAGCATAAAATTCTATTTCTGTTGGATGTTCCTATATTTTTCTATATATGTATGAGCATGCTTTCCATTATTTTTTAGTAAGTCAAATCTAACTTTTTCAACATTTGAGATTAAGAAAAGGACAAAGAAATTCTAAAAATGGCCTCTCCTTCCCCCACGTTCCCCCCTCTCATGTACAGACACATACAACCTCCTCAGTTAGAAAAGTTTTAAAGGAAATGATGAATTTTTAGTTTTTTGTCATATCTTTAGAAAACTAAGGGGAAAATTGTGACAAAAGACCTTTTTTATATGCAAATAGAGTAAATGACCTGGTTCTGAGATCAATATATATGGAAGAATCACATCAGAAATACTTCTGATTTGAGGTCCTGTCATGCTGCCTTGAACAGATGTATGCTGAGGAAAGCAAAGTTAAAGACAAATGGAAAGAAAGCTTCTGCTGTTTGTGTCCTTCGGGAATGTTTTCAGGAGATGGGAATATGAAAGAAAGCAACTCAGAAGCATCAATTCCCAGGAGAGCGGTTAAGAGAGTGTGTAGTGGTTTTTAAGTCAGCGTTCACATTCAGTACTTTTAAACTGAAGAAGCACATAGAAGCCATGATACAAAGCAGTATGAAACAGACACTGTCTTAGATGAACAAATATGGTCAAATATTTCCTAAAATCAAGACAAATATTTAGAAGACATTTTTCCTTGGCCTAAATATACACCTGTTGATAGATAACCACATTAAGCTTTTGAGGAAATACCTTTTCTAAAATGGACACAAAGTAACAGTTAAAAGTATTTATTGGAAGTTTATCATTTGCCCATCTGAGTCTCTTGCTAGCAAATTTATTGCTCTCTTAAGTATGTAGAAAAATAAGCTGTTGTATGTAAAATACCATTGTATCTTCAACAAGCAATGGCCTTAGGCCATTCTATTTCTCAATCTCTGCTAATAGAATTTTTCATTCATTTTTGTTTTATTTTTGCTCTTCCTCTCCCTCCACCATTAAACTCAAACACATCTCAAAAAAAATCAGCATCTACAGTATGACTTTCCATTTAAAAAAACAAAATTCAGACTACAAAATCTAGATTTCTAGTAAGATCCTTCTCCATAAACAGAGGTGGAGCTTGTTTTGGAACTATAATTTATAGCACAAAGTATATAGAATCCATTTACTTAGGCCTACAGAGACAAAGGAATGTAGACAATTCAGTTATTTATCTAAGTATTCACTAACAACAAAAACACAATGTGAAGTGGTTAATAAGAAGTAGATAGTAACACTTGAAATGATCAAAGCTAATAATTCTTGGTGCTTTTTTTTGTTTTGTTTTTTAATTTCATGGATGTAGCGTTCCATGAGAAAGAAAGAAAAAATCATTTTTTATATTATTTTTCTGACACTAGGTTTTTTAATGTACTTTATATAATAAAACACCGTTATATCCCAGCATATTTCTATAAACATTTGGATATGTTAAGGATCAAATTCACTTTCTGTACACATAAGGTAATTAATGAGTGCCCACAGAGCACCACAAAAGGGTGTTGCTAGGAATTTCTCCTGCTGAAATAATGAGCATGGGGTAGAAAATAAAAGATCTATCATTTGACTTTGGAGCCACATATTTTAGATTTAGGTGATTAAAATGCCAACTGTTAGTACAAAGAAGATAAACTTAAGAGTTAAAATCCCACATTCCATTGACAACAATGATATGATGTCTTTTTTACTCCCTTATTATAAATGGGAGATATAAACTTCTAATTTGGGTATCAGGAAACATTGGAAAATCAATAGAGCAAACATTTT